AAGATGGGATCAATTTCATCCTTGCCTTTTAAGATTTCAAGGTGTCCTACAAGTTTGTCTTGCTTGATTTTATTTTTCCTAGGTAGCATGAGTTCTTTCTTTGCTGCTTCCTCTTGTATTGCCACATGAAGTGATTTAAGATTGATTAGAGCAGTGGTTGTTGTTTTTTCAGGGGACGTATAGGCAAGCAATTCGTTGGATCTTGCAGAGTTTTCAATAGCTGTTGTTTGAGTATTATTTTTCCACCATACGACTGCTCCACTCTCTATTATTTGTTTCACCATCTGAGTGTATGTATAACCAGTAGGGTATCGAAGTAGTAAAAGTCCACTGGAACGCGAAAAACCACTTTTCCTGTAACTAATTTCATTTTTTTTTTACAAATTTAAGGTTCTTTGCTTTTACCGCTTTCTGTTTTTATTTACAAATGCAACCCTGCCGAACGTTTGACACTTTTCATGAACTTGTAGGAAAAATAACTTCGGACGAAAACCTGTAACTTCTCACCAGGAGAGCGTGCAAGTTACGCTCACAAAAGTGCTTTCGCTAACAGGTATTTTGGCACCTGGAATGCTTCCCTGTAAAAAAAAAACTGCAAATCGTGAATATCGTAAATATCGCGAGCTTCTGGAACGCAACTAATATCGTATTGTGTAGCCAGTATAACATCCTGCTAGAGTTATATATTTCATTGATCTGGATTTCCAACATGTTCCACTGCTACTATTGGATTGTTACATCATTGGGATAGTTCAGAGTTCAGAGATCTCAGCAGAAAATATTTCTACTACAAAAACGCTATAACAATATCATCGGCTGATGTAAAATCTTTACCGCTATAGTCCTAATATAATTTATACCTAATTCGTAACGTTTATTGCTAAAAAAAACCCCTATCAAGTGAGTTATTCTCATTTATCCACTTATCTTTTTGGCATTTTGTAACAATTTTCTGTTTCGAACTCACCGTTTATTTCAATAAACTTTCCCAACATTTTTATTTTCCACATTATTCAATAGGTTCACAAATTTTTTCGTTTACCTGGCGAATGATAGGAATAGAGACGAATAAATATAAAAAATAAAATAAAAAATAAATCGATGGCGCGCTTTTATGTCTGCTGCGATTTGTCGCGCCACACATAGTAGGTACATTTTTTTTTTTCATTTTGCTTAGAAATATTTTAGCGACGGCATTGCGTTGTTGGCGACGGCAGCAGCCACAGCAGCTGAGTTTATTGCCGTGTCACGTGCATTTTTCGGCATTTTGTTTAGAGAGATTTACTTACTTATTTAGTTGCTGTGTGTGTATTCATTTTTGTTTAGATTTGTTGTTTTTCACATTATGTATGTTTGTGTGTGTGTGTGTGTGTGTGTATTTACAAGCTCACCACGTGCGGCGAATTCAATGAATTGTATGGCAACAACACCACTTGAATGGGCTGTAAATGTTGCAAATAAAATGAGCGGATATGAAAAAGCATCTATGCCACAGCCGGTTGAATGTTCGATTAGAAATTAGAAAAGCATAAAAATAATGTAGCGCGGCAAGAGAATTGCTAGCAAATAAAATGTGGAAAACTTGTGTGTGTGTTTGTATGTATGTATATAGATAGATGGGATTCCCTTTGTTGCACGCAGACATTTCAGCTTTTTTCTAAGCACTCATTCATTCAAATATAAAAAAAATCACTTACAAATACACACTACATACATACATATGTGGCGTCCACCTGCGGCGCCAACACTACTATCGGAGTTCCACACCCACCCACCGATGTACTTACCCACATACCTACTGGCACTTGCGCTTATTCATTCATTCATTCTAAATTCATAGCGTCGGCATTTGAATATTTCTAAGCGCGATTTTTTCGCTGGCAAATTTTTTGTGTCTGCGCAGATACTTTTTTTTTTGTGCAAATCTACGCAAATATTCGCGACAGTTTATGCGCCTTTGTTTGTTAATTTTTTTTTTTTGCGAATATTTATTTTTTTCTATTTAGGTTTAGTTTTTTTAGTCCGCTGTTGCCTGATTTTTGTTTAGAAATACTCACTCCAGCGTTAACCGTTACGTGTGGACTCGTGATTTTTATTTTTTTTTTTTTGTTATTTCATTTGCGTCTGTTATGTTTGCAAAATTTTTTATTCAAACGTATGGCGTAACACTGACCTTGTTCAATGGATTTTGCTTAGAAAAAAGGCCACTTAAATAAGATATCGAAGTTTCCGAGAATTACTGCAATCACATGAGGATATTCAATATTTAAATACAAGTTCTGAACACATAAATATGTATGTATGTACATATTGCGTATAACCGAAACCAAAGTGGTTTTTTAATGTAAAATTGCGGTGTTGGGACACTAGAACTGCGACATATTTATGTACATTAGACTGCATCACCAAAAAAAAAACAACGCTGCGTGTATTCCGCCGGGATTATAAAACTTATAATATTTGAAGACGCCCACTAAAATATTTCGGAAAAATATTAAGATTTACGTGAGCTGGACCGATTTGAAAATAAGTCCAAAAGTGTAGGTTTTTATCAATAAAAATAGTTTCTTAAGGTATATTTTTTGAAAAAAGTCCCCTCAGATGACAAATTAGTCCAACTCACGTAAATCTTAATATTTTTTCGAAATATTTTCGTGCAAGTCTTAAAATATATCTAAAAGATTTTATAATTCCAATGGAAATATGGTAACGACTTTTTTTCTATGGGGAGTGATGCAGTCTAATGTACATACATAGATCCCTTGTTTCGTGGCCTGGATAAAGGATTGTCGTATGTTATTTTTGTGGTAGATTTTGCGAAATCGCGAATGAAGTTTCGAATGCAATTACTCCCCAAAATTTGTAAATTGTTTTGTGTACTAAATCAACCGTAAAATTTTAGTCAATATCTCGGAAACCAACGATGATATCCAAAGCCTGGTAGCGTCAATCGAAATATATAACTGCATCTACAGCTAGAAGACGTCAAAATGGCGCTTACGACAATATTTTATTCAGGCGACGTTATGAAGTTAAACCCTGTAGTGTTTTAGATTCTGAACAGATGCGATAACCGCTCTCCGAAATGTAAAAGCTTTTGACCTATGATATGTGTCATAGGGCTAGGTAACTCACTGATTTTTCGTGAGTTAACTCAATGACTCAATCTCATTTTAATGAGTCAGCTCAGTGAGGTGGCACAATTGAGCTAGCGCTGTTAGTTAGCACTTTTTAGCTGATGAGCGCTGTAGGTTTGGACTATAGACCTCTTAAGAGGAAACAAGTTGGTATGCGCTGTAGAGCTGGTACCGCGGAACAGAAGTGAGTCTGAGCGTGCGACACACTGCTTGGAGTCAGCTCAATAGCTCTACTCAGTGCTGAGTTACCGATCTCTAATGTCCCAGCGCACAGAACCTTCAGCTCGTCTCTGCAGAAAGTCTAATTTGCCAAAACTAGCAGTGTCCTGTCAGGTATTCTGTTAGAGGTCTTAGGCTCTTGCTGCTAACATAAAGAAGTCGTTGCGATATTCCTTTAGAGAGAGTTATAGAATGCTTAAATTGTATTTTTCCCATTTTATCATTCGCTACTTGGTGGCAACCTGAGAAGCTTTCCACTTACTTAGGAGGTCTGGTATTTACTTATATGTACTTTTGCCGAACAACCGAAAGGCTGTACAGGCTCCGTTGAGCCCATCCTTTGCGATAGCGCCAGCCATTTCGTTGCCATCGAAAACCCTCTTGCCCCTGTACCTACCTATGTAATTGTGATTCCGTTAACTGTTTCCATATACTAGTTTTGCAGTTGTCCACTAGCATTAATGTAGTTTTGAATGAGTCAAGAAATTTTAGTGCTGGCTACTATCAAGTATGGTACGGGTATTTGAACTGGTGCCATTAGTTCTTAAAGATGTCCGCTTGAAATATATGTAGTTGGATATGTATCCTAGAGCTTAGTGCCCTTGCCAATCGTTATAATTTGTTCTCTGCAAGCGCACCTTTCAGAGATTATCACCTTATTTAAGATTAACTTCGGTAGCAGTTTGTCTGTGAGTTTAATGACGCGATCATCAAGGATTGGTTTTGAAACTGCTAAGTTCACTTTAAGGTCTCAACCCCTTATGCTCGCTAAGTAGCCAAGTCGCATATCGCTCCTGCGAGCCTCATTTTCAATTAGTATAACTAGAGGTAGTATAGCTGAGTGCTTTCGTTGACCAGGTGGGCATAGCTCTCGTCAGTTCAAATTGGGAAGAACTCCTCTGCGTCGTTTGAGACCAAACGAGGCTTTGGCAAGGCGTTTCACTTTCGTGCGTTCGCGTTTTGGAACCCTCTTCACTATTTACAGGTCTAACTTTGAAGTAGTGTAGGACGTTGTCTACCTATAATACAGTTTAGAGACCACCAATAATGTCAGCCTGGAAATAAAGCGAAGAATAAATCTTGCTAACAGGTGCTAGGGGTTCAATTTTTTGGATATTCTTCAGTTCCGGGGTATGGCACCACGAAAATTCCAAAAAGTTAATTCTCCTATGCGGTTTTGGACCACCCAAATGTGCATAGAAAACAAAAGCCGTCATCGATTCCCCAACAGTTAGCGAGTAGCGGAACGAATGAACTCAATGAGGTACACCCAAACTCGCTATCGTTTATCTTTGCTAGCTCACTTTGTTGTTGCTTTCACATGCAATATTTTTCGTTTAACGACCGGAACTCAAACATAGCAAGCAGCGTATTGGCGAATCGACGACGGCTAAAAATATTTGGCAGCCGCAAATTTTAAGAAATTTTTATTCGCCAAATTGTGAATGCTCTATATGTGTATGTGTGCGTACGAGTTTGTGTGCGTTTGTTTTCAGCCATAGTTAGTCCACAGTGCCAGTTTCTTCGTAAACATTTCAACAATACAAATTTTAGGCAAATTCCTACATACATACATACAAAAAAATCCTAAAGAGAGCAATACTAATTTATAAAAAGCTAATAAATGCAAAAAGTGCTATTTAAAATAACAAACTAACTGATTTACAAGAAAAAAAAAAACAATAATACACTCAAATAGGAATAAAGTGAAAACCACAGAAAATCGTCCGCAATGGAGGGCCGTCTTATCGAGTACCGCCCTATTGGTGGTGGCCTCGACTACCACCACAATTCGCCACTAATCGGCGAAATACCGCCGGCTGGTGGCGACTACTCGCATGCCGTCCATCGTTCCATCGATCAATTGCGCAACAGTTTAAATGAGCGCGTCGCACTCGGACCGCTGAGTGTTTTTTCGAATTCCTCCGCCGATCTGCGCTCGTCGGTTTTGTCCTACAGTCAGCAGCAGCAGCAGCAGCAACAAGCCACGCAACCGCAACATGGCCCACCACATGCCAGCCATCAACAACAGCAACAGCAACAGCAACAACAACAGCAACAACAACAACAGCTGACCACACAGTATGGACAACTTGCGGCGGCTACTGGTGCGAGCAATGCCAGCGCTGGCGATTTACATGCCCAGCAGCAGCAGCAGCAGCAACAACAACAGCAGAAAGTTAGCACCACCACAGGTGTAGCACCATCGAACGCTGTAGCGGTTGCCAACAACAATAACAATCCTGCAATTCCGGTTAAAGTGGCCATCGACTCGAATGCCGTAGTCAGTTCGACGGTGCCGAATGGCGCCACAACGGGCAACAGCGCTGGTGCAAATACCACAGTTCCTAGTGGCCCTGGCGGCGGTGGTGGTGGACGTGGTCGTAAAGCGCGTATCTATCCAAATCCGAATCAGCACATCATCGTGACCAGCAACAGTGTGGATCATCATCACGCCGCTGCCGGACGTCATCATCACATCGGCACTGTCAGTGATGTTGGTGGCGGCGGCGGTGGCGGCAGTGTTGGCTCAACAACCAGTTCTCCACGGCATATGGACATCAAGGATACGAAGGTAGTTGTAGTTTCAGAAATTCATTTTTTTATTGATTAGTAGTGGATTAATTTCCTAAATGTTGAGGAAATCTTTTCAACAAAAATATATAGTTATGGATTTATTATAAGACTATGGGCCGTTGTCTCAAGCTGGGTTTAAAATTTACTTGTCCTTTAGACACAAACTTTTTTTCTGGCTTTTATGAAATTTTGCACAAGCGACTGGAAAATGGACTGCCTTACTTGCGTCGCCTGATAAGATTTTTTGTTTTATCAAATTAAAAAGTTTTGAAACGCATTCAAGTGCTCTGATACGATATGTTATACTAATCTTTTTCGATGTCATGAGCTTTGACGAGGGTCATATTTCCACCTGTGAGATCTCTGCAAGGATTCCATTAAATGGTTTGCCAAGCGTGCGTAATCTTTTTGCATGTATGACCTTGCAACTATTCAGAGGAGGGTAAATGTATGTCAAGAGTACTGAATGTACACCTGGTAATGAGTGTAATTCGCCTGGGGCCACACTTGTACTTATATTGTGAACCCTATTGAGAATGATTGGGTTTAGGTAAAAAGTTATGTTAAAACTAATATGGGCGTTCCAGCTACGGACGGACTGGTAGTGGTAGGGAGGCGACGGCAGTACATGAAACAAATAATACAGTAAGTGAAATAAACTATATCAACTGCAGGTCTGAACTTTGACCCTTTGCGACACGCCTTCACCGAATTCAATCAGGGCCAAAATTAGGATGTGATATCTTCGACTAAAGTAGCATCGACGTAGGGGTTGAGGCTTAGGAAATGTGATGTACAAATTTTGCCTCCTACATTCAGGACCACCCTAATGTACATACTTACATATCTAAATAAAACCGCGCCATGTTTATGACTGGTTTATTCGATCGGTCGAAGGGGGAAATGATTTTTTGGTTTTCTAAAATACATTTGGCTCAGTGTTGCTTATATTATAAACTTTGTATTATCCCCTTAAACTCTAGATAAACAAAATACATATAATCGTTAATCTTTCATTTCCTATGCATTTTCAGATTTTCAGCTCGAAAGTGGACCTACAGCTGCACACGCAAATTCATATGCGCGAAGCTAAGCCGTACAAGTGTACGCAGTGCTCCAAAGCGTTTGCCAACTCATCCTACCTGTCGCAGCACACCCGCATCCATCTGGGCATCAAGCCGTATCGTTGCGAGATCTGCCAACGCAAATTCACCCAACTGTCACATCTGCAACAACACATTCGCACCCACACCGGCGACAAGCCGTACAAGTGTCGACATCCCGGCTGCCAGAAAGCCTTCTCGCAACTCTCCAATCTGCAATCGCATTCGCGCTGCCACCAAACGGACAAGCCATTCAAATGCAACTCCTGCTA